TCATTTTCTTTCTTCTTCTCTATTTTCCACTAAATTTTTTCGATTTTTTCAACGTATTATTCATAAAATATGCAAAGGATTGACATTAACTGTTGTTGCAAAAGTTCAATACAGTGGAATTTTTAAGTGAAACAACAAAGAATTATTCAATTTCAGCTCAGTTTTTAGAAATTCTGCTTTTTTTTGCTTATGTATTTTTTTCTATTTATTTTTCTTTTTACTTGTGTATCTGCATTTACCGAAATAATGTTGGCTTTTTTTTTTGACTTTGTGCTGTTTTTTACTATTTGTACCTTTTATTTGACAAGTTTTTTCAGCCTAAAATATTTTTTGTTGTTTGCAGTACCAGAACTGGTTCAGTCTGTTAAGCTGATCCAAAAATTTTTTCATATTTAACATTTATTTGAAGGTTATATTACAACAACACAGCAACTTACAAAACTTTCACATATTCAGCATAAGTGTCGGTAACTTTCTACTATTGCTCTGTCAGATTCATAGTGCTGCCGCTATAGAAAGAGCGTTGTTTCAGTTGAGTGAACCACATATGGCTGTTTCCATCTTTTCTCCAAACTAGCATTAAGAACTTTCCAGCTAGCCTGTATTAGAAGAGCTGATGTACAGCGTTGTTGTGTTGGAAGGCAATCTGTCGCTTCCAGTAAGTGTTCGTATTTAATTGATTTTTCAAGTTTTCTAAACTAGGTCCTGATCTGCAGTCATTGTTTATTCTTTATTTAATTACTTTTAACACCCACTAAACGTGTAAGAAAACCTATTTATGCTTATTTACTCTGGCTTCTTTCAATGCTGCAGAACAGTGTACTTCTAATGCAAACAAGCTGGAAAGTTCTGAACTGTCTTCTGTTCCCCGTAAACCTTGCTCTATCTGAATATCACTTGTTCAGGTCACTAGAGCAATCATTTGACTGTAACAACTATAAAAGTAGAAAAGGGATAGACAGTTTTTACACAGAGCAGAAGAAGGCTTGTTATACCCGAGTGACATCATAAATCTACTGAACGGTGACAGAAGTCATTGTGATTTATGGTGAATATATGTTAATTTTTTAACTTGTTACTTTGTTGCAATGTAATTTTAGGACGAAAGCTATAAAAGCAGTGAAACTCTAGAACCAATCTAAAAAATTTTTTCTTTTATTTATCTTGCTACTAGTTTAAGGCTATTGATGAAATTTTTGGAAAGGAGAAAGGGTGAGACACACATTTGAAAAGTGGGTTTAAGAGGAAAAGTTTGACTTGTTTTTGGGCGGTATCTTGTAGTAAATAAAAGTTTTTGGATAAAAAATTAATCTTCTTTAGCAGTCTAAATATCTTTTTTAGTTGCTTTACTAGTTTTTTAGGCTTTTTTTAGTTTTTTACCTTTTTAAAAATAGGTTTCAATTTTCGACTCACTAATCGTTTTGTCTGTAGTAGCGGTTCTGTAACGAAACAGCAGTTTGGGTTGCTGTTTTACTTTTTCGTAAGCACCTTAGGTCATCAAAGATTAGCACTTTGGAAGCTTTGAGGAGCTTTGAGAAAAAAAATAAAGGGTGGCAGAACAGTGGTAAGAGAAGAGAAGAAGGTAGGTATCGACGAAAAAAAGCAGAAAGCGGGTGAAGGAAAACAATAAAACCGATGACAGTCGAAAGAGGCTCTAAATCGTTTAAGTTGTTTAACGATACGTTAAGGTTTCGAGGTGCTTTCTTTTAATATCAATAATAAGTATAAACATATATAAGTGTATATTTATTGGTATCACATACTGTTTATTTTTCCATCTACGGTCATTTCACTTAAGCAGAAAAAAGTTCAATCTTCGTTGTTATTCTTGCGCTTGCTATGTTGATATTTATAAGAATTCAATTGCTGCGGCTGCTGCTGGTGACGTTGGTGAATTTGTCTGCCTGTTTTCGATGCTGACAGTATAGTACTGTGGACGGAAAAATTGATGCTGTTTATCTAGATTTGTTGATTCTTTAACCTTTTCAACTATTCTTTGCCAGCAACTTTCAGAGCCTTTAGAAATTTTAAATGTGCAGTGACAAAGTAAGGAAAATAAAATTTATTTCTGATAGATCTTCGCCACTTTTCTAATTCCTTTCTTAAACTTTTAAACTGAAAGGGCAAAACAATTCTTTTTTGCTTCCAAGTTTTAGTTTTAGAAATTTTGATGGGAAGAAGTAAGGATATATGATATTTTTCACTCATATTTTTTTTTGTTAATTATTGTAGGTTCTGTATTGAATTTAGCATCTCATTCAAAAAAAATTAGGTTGGTAACTGGAATTGGTGATAGTGACCAGTATGATAGGCGGTGGTAGGGTAATTCTGGTGGCTTTGTCGTCGTCAGGTAGATTTTTTCATTCTTTTTTCTTTTTCTATGAACTTTTTTTGATCAGTACGTCAAGAGTACTTTTAAAAGTTCGTCAAAGAGCATCTTTTTTGCCATTTATTTCTTTTGTAATGCTATTTTGTTCAAAAAGAAGGAAAAAAATTTTTTTGCACTTAGCAATTTTTTAGTGTTTTCTGCTAGTGCAACAGCATTTTCAGTTAGTTCTCGAATTTATATTTTAGCTGCAAATGATGGTATCAAACTGTAGACAGAGGCCATTGTTCCTTCATTATTCGGCCTTCTGTTACGCACTTTTACGCCACTATTTTTAAAAATTCATATCTTTAGACAAAATGAGAGGAAGTATTAAGACCAATTTTGGAATGTATTAGTGGTGGAGGTAAGGGAAGGAGCTTAGAGGTGGGAAAGGAACAAGAGGATTTCATTTATTTTTTTGACCACTGTTTCTCTTTTTCTGTCTTTTTTTAATTCATTTCTTATCAGTTGTTAACGACGTCAGAAAAGTAATGAAATTAGTTTTTATACCATTCCAGTTAGGGTTGTTTTCTAGTTACAACTGCCTTTTCTTCTCTTACCCTTTGCATAATAAAAAAGCATAAGTTTTTTATTGTTTCATTTACATTTAGACATCAATAAGCACAAAGTACCACTCTTTTCGCTCTACCAAATACACATTTTCACAGTTAAGTCGCAACCTAAGTAGTTTTTGGTTTAAACATTTATCCTTTCAAGTTTTTATTACGCAGTTTTCTTGTGACTTACAAGAGTTCTTAAACACTGCTGACTGCACGTGTATTTGCAGAGGTGAAGAAAAAGAATAAACATCACCGAATTATGAACGGGTAAGGAATGAGGAAGCGGGTGAATGAGTGAATGAATAAATGAATGAGTGGATGAATAAACGAACGAATGAATGAATAGAGAAAAGTGTTGCGTTAGGCTATCTGATAACGGTACGAAGAAGCTTTAAATAACCCCTTTTCATCTTCTGTTTTAAAGTTTTTGACAAATGAACGCTGTTGTTGTTCTCGGCTGGCAAATCCACTTGGACGCGGACAGTTAATATCGAAATTTGATTAGACAGTAATTTGTATGTGTTCATGACCTTTATTTAATCTTTACCTCTCAATATTTAGGGAAGGGAGAACCGGTGAAACATTAATTCAACCAAAAAGAGAGGAAGGGGAACAAGAACGAGTATACGGAGGACTGGGAAGGGAAACGAACTGGGAGGATGAGGGAATGACAAACGGTTTAATAGGTTTATTGAGTCAGTGTAATACAGCGCAGCAGTTCTGATAGGCCTAAAAGGAAAAAAAACCCAGCTGTGTCTTATTCCTTCAATTAGCTATTAAAATTTTACCAAGCAGTATTCCTCTAAATTTCAGAAGCGAGAAAGCCATGATGATCGTTGGTTTAAAGTTGTAGACATTAGGTAACAGGGGAAGAAAGAGACAATGGGTTATTTTTTTATTTCTTTTCATTTTCTTTTTTTTGGAAAGAGTGGAAGATTTGGCTATTTTAACTGTATGTTTTGCTATGTTTAGTTTC